GGGTGGTACCGGAGACAGCGTGGGGCGAGTGGGTACCGGAGGAGTGGATACCGGAGACAGCGCGGGAGGAGGGTGGACAATGAGGGGACAGGAGGGAGGGAATCAAGGGAAAAATAAAAACGCAAAGCATTTAATGGGGCAAGGCTGGAAAGTGACCTGTTGAAGGTAAGTGTGTGGTAATATCTTTGAACATATGCAATGTATTCATCTGGGAAAGTTCCTCGTGTATACAGTAACTAAGTAGAAAAATAAATGGCTAAAAATGGAGATCGTAAAAACTAGATAATGAAAATAAATAAAAATGGTAGAAAATAAACTATGTTATCCAATGTGATCTCCCAGTTCTTCTGCTGGCCAGTGTTGTATCTTTCCAAAGAAAAATCTAAAGACCGCTAGCTATCATTTTCGCAGCCACCTAACTGTACACAGAGATGGTGTCCTTTGTTTTTCACGGTCTGTGTTAACAGAGTTCTACAGCAGAGGGCTGTTCGAGCAGCTCTCTAGAGGAAAAGAGAGCTCAGCAAGAAGCCTGCAGTTCACCTCGGACCCGTGAGGATTCCCGGCCAGGGCCGGCGGCGACTGCCAAGAACGGTTCTGTGCCGACATCGGGAAGGCTGACCTGTTAGTCGTCTTGGATCACGAATCCGCGACTGTGCTATCTGGGGGCTCCTGAACAGAGGCAGACAGCCGGGGTGAAGTTTCCGCTCTAACTTACTGCGTGGGTGACCCAGGACCAGGTGCTCAGCCTCCCGTGCTTCTAAGTCCTTCCCTGTGACGGCGCAAACCCCGTTATGCCTCTCGCTAAGGAGTATGCTCCAAGACAGCGATGTTGCACAGGGTCAGTGTGTGTCTTGCCATTCCCCCTCTGCACTTCCAGAGCTGCGACAACCCCTGCTACCTTAGTGCTCAAGAAATACAATAAGGCAAGTGTCTTTCAGTGCTGCTGCAAGGATGAGCTGAAATACACAGTGTCCTTGGCATCTGGGAAATGCTCAACGAGTGGCACTTCTGACTTTATTATAGTAAAAGTACATTTTTCTTAGGCTCACAGAACACTCATCCTCTGTAGAATATTTATTATAAGAAGTATGTTATTTGTAGGTCACGTATTTCGTTAAAACTCATGCTGCTTGGAAAATTCCTCAACATCGCTTGTTAATTAGGGAGGCAGAGGATGGCAAGTAGGTCTAACTTGGCATGCCAAGTCTAATCAGTTAACGATGATTGTCAGACGTGCTGTGTAGCAAGGATTGCTGAGGCAGAGTCTGGGTGTGGCTGGCGAGAGTGCCAAGGCTGATTAGCAATCTCCCCCCCAGGCGCGGAGAGACAGAGCGGCACCCCTCGTCCTGTTTGCCATCTTGCATTGTGGTGTCCCAAAACTTTACTCTGCAATTCCTTAGGCATTAGCCAGCCTACGGTCTGCCAGTCAGGACTTGCATCAAAGCCTTATACAATACACCACCACAGATCCAGGGCAGGAGGCTGAGACCCACAGGTAACACTTTAACCTCCAACAGCAGAAGCGGGAGTGGCTGCACACGGAGGAGGCAGACTTCTGCAGCGATCTGGGCTGTGTTCGGCCCCTGCTCTGCTAGTGCTCGCTTGGCGCCTGCCGGAGCCGCAGCGCCCCGTGCATTGGTCGTTCTAGGTCTTTGCTGCTGGGTGGTTGGCCCGCCCCGTCGGTATGCCTTCTCTGCACCTTGCTCCTTTGCTCTGAGTAAATGGCTGTCAATTCAGGGTCCTTCTATCAGGAGGGACAATGACGTTGGAAGGGAGAGCGTTCACTTTATTTTCTATAAACTTTTGTTCTTATTTGCCAGAGGGCATGTGCACTTGCCAGAGAGAGACCCAGAGACAGAGAGAGAGGGAGAGAGAGAAAGCACCCCCGCAGCAGGCGTGGCCACGCCACAAGCCCTCCTCCCCCATTTCTCCATCCTGTCTGGAGTCGGCACATGCAAACATCCCCCCACCACGTCTCTCAGGCCTCGAGCACCAGGACTCGGAACTCACAGTTTGGCATGTGGGGTCTGGCTCCTTTAACCGCCCAGCCCAAGGGATCAGCCTGCAATTGTCCTTTTTCCCCTGTGGTCCTAGCAATCTAATTCTCAGCTCTTAAATACTTAGGAAATAAATGAAGTCCTCACGGCCGTAGCGCAGGGCTTACGAGGACGGCTACCCACCGTTTCTTGAAATGTTCTGGTAGTCCCTGTGATTGCAGCGGTTCCTTTCCCGTAGTCGGCGGTAAATAGATTTTTCTTTAATTCTGAAACAAATAAAAGTGTATAGATTTGCTGTTAGGACATTCGATGATCAAGTTCAAAGAAACATGTTTCGTCATGATTTTAAAAATTAGGGTGAAAGTGAAGTCAGAAAAGAAATGGCTACTGATACGTGTCTCTGCCCAGCGAGCACGTTCCTAGGAGTCTCGTGGAAATGTCCCAAGAAGACCCGCACTGAGGGGTAAGAGTGTTGCCAAAAACCTGTTTTGGCACAAAGATCTGCATGGCCAACTCTCTCATCTTTGCACCAAGAGCTGCTGTCAATTTCTTGAGCAATTGCTCGTCTTTATCAATGCTCTTATTTCGTATTTTTAAAAATAATTATTTTATTCAACTTTATTTATTTTAATTTGACCAGAGAGGGACAGAGTGAAAGTGAAAGAGCAAGCTGCCAGATCTGGTACTTGAACCACGGGCAGCCATGTGGGAGTTGAGCGCTCTTCACCACCACGCCACCTGCTGGCCCATCAGTGCTCCGATTTGAACCTGACCATGCTTCCTTTCTTCTGTCCGCTGCCCTCAGGCTGTAGCAGACACTCGTTGCCCTTCAGACCCCCTCTTCCTTTCCCTCCTCCTGGCATTCTTAGGGGCCCAGCAGGAGGGCTGCGTTTCCCAGATCCCCTTGCAGCTGGGAGTGGTTGCATGGCTAAGTTCTGGCAATGGGAGGGAAGCGGGGAGGGGAGGTACCCCCTGACAATTTCTGGAACTGTTGCTTGGGAAATAACGGGAAGGTGGCCTTGCTCCTGCTTTGCCCGCTTTCTCCACCCTGCTGTCCAGAGCAGGGAGAAGGGCCACACTGGGAAGACGGGGTGAGTGACAAGGAGTCTGGATCCTCAAGGACCAGGTGGAATTGAACCCCACCTGGGTATTCCTAGACTACCCTTCTCCACGCTGTCTGTGCAAGAGAAACCAACTCCTGAATCATCTGTTTTACCCGTCCACACGTGGAGTCTCTCTGTTACTCGTAGCTGAGAGTCATACCAGCACTAACACGATTACAGGCTACTCCACCAAGGGTCAGTCGGCAACTGCGCATATTTTAAGTCATTTCCTTGGCTCCTTTGCGTCTCCTCTTTGATTCTAGATTTCCTTTTGCCCAAGTTTTAATTTAATTGAAATGTAATTGAATATCATAGCCTCTCTACTTCTATATGCTTTCTAAAATCCGTTTGGCAATGAAACCAGGTATGAAAGGATGGCTAGTGATTACATTCAGAAGTATTTCGTGACTCTTCAAATATATCTTCCCTGTATCATTAGTGCATATCTCACAATCATAAATAACTGGTTACCTTCAAGTGCTACGTTACTCTCATTGTATTACAGCGCTTGGCAGTAGTCGCAACCCTACAGGAAGGGGAGCGTGTTTCACGTGTGTGCACTGGGATCGCACTGGAACTTAGCCTTTTTGCAGGGCCACAAAAGCACTGATGATATTTCTTAACAAAAGGGCAAGAAGTCTGAACACTGGTCAAGCATGAGATTTTTGCCTTGTGGTGGAATACTGAGGAGAATGAGATATTTTTATATTTTTACAGCTATTTATGCACACAGTTTAAAATACCAAGTTAATTTATTCAGGAGGTGTTTCTGGAGTGCCCACTCCATTCTGGGCACCATTCTAGGCACTTGGGTTATACTGGTAAGTGAAAAAGGCAAAGATTTCCACCTCGGTGTGGTTGATGTGTCAACAGGACAGGCAGATTAGAAAACATCATGAATAAGGAAATTATAGTTTACATTAGAAAGTGATCAAATCTAAGAAAAAAAAAGAGAAAAGAGACTAGGATTAGTCAGGAAAAGTGTTATTGGGAACATGAATTTGGACACAGAGTTAAGGTGGTGAGCCTTAGGGGACCAAGTAGTTGAACTATTCATGACCAGAAGATTTGTAAGCATAGACAGCAATCCCACGCTTCCCTTCCCTCCTCATGTCTCCATTTCCTAGAGGCAACTAATTTCATCTTTTTTTTGTGGGGGGGGGAGGTTTTTGCTTTAGGGTGCATGCACTTGTCAGAAAGACAGAGAGAGACAGAGACAGAAAGCAAGAAATCACCCCCCAGGGGGGATGGCCATGCCACAATCTCTTCTCCTCCATCCTCCTCTCGGGATCTTGGGCACGCATGCACACATGTTCAGAGTGAGTTTAAGCCACTGGATCTGTGACTCGAACTGTGGTCAACTACATGGGAGTCCAGCGACATAGCCACTATGCCCATTGCAGGTCCCCTAATTTCCTCTTTAATTGACTTAGTTGTCTGGTATTTTTCTCCTTGTCTCTAAGTAATATATTAAGAGTCTTCAAAAAAGCTCACAGAAAATGCATATTATGAAAAAATTATGAACGGAGTTCGATTTTTTTGGTACCAAAATAAACTCATATTTTAATTCTTTTTTTTTCCAATGAAGTTCTGACATCTCCTTCTGTAGCAGTGCCCTCTACTCTGACACTTTACTTCCTGTGGGCTCAGTGAACTCTGGTTGACCATGGCCTAAAATCAGGAGAGGGCAGTACAGTAAGACCACTGTGAGAGGTGCCCGAGCGTGGGACCACAACACTGGGAGGCTGACCTCACAGGAGGGCCCCAGGTTCGCGTTCAGAGGCCTCCCTGAGACCCCAGGGGCATGCATACCCACGGGCGGGGCTGGCCGAGGCTGGGGGGTGCCTAATCTCTGTCTCCCTCCCTCTGTCTCCCCCGTTCATGGAAGATAGTTTGAGAGACACAGACTTCACGTAACTGTTACTGGACTACATTGCTATGGTTATTCTATTAATCGTTCACTGTGTCTAATTTATAGACCGGACTTTACTGTGGAGCTGTATACATGGAGGAAACACTGCATGCAGACTTCAGTACTCCCAAGGTTTCAGGTAGCCACTGGGTGTCTCGCAGTTCCCCGTGCAAGCTGGCTTGCTTCTCGGCTGGCCCTCCCACCAGCTGAGCCTGCAGCTTCCCCGAATCTGCCTGGCAGCTACCACTCACGCTTCTGCTTCCTAGTCTGCTGCGTCTCATGGCTGTTTGCTCTCCCCGCTCTCTTTGTCCTTGTGGACAAGCCTGTCTGCTGTCGTTTGAGTAGGGGCTCCTCGAGGGAGAGAGCTCAATGCTCGTGGTCAGTCTGCATCACACCAGAAGGCTGAGATGACACTTCATCCACCGCACCATTGATGCCCTCTGCCTGGACTGGTTTATTGTGGTTTGGAAAAGCAGATGGAAAACGGACATTAGATATGAGTTCAATACTCAAATAATTTCACGGTCAGTAAAGAGGGCTTAGTTTCTTTTCGGAAAGTAATTGTTACCAGTATTTAGTCATAAATATATTTTTGATAATTCCAGAAATGGAATTTGTGTACTGAAATATTATTTGCGTATGGCCTGCCCATGGAGCGTAAATAGTGTGGCTATTATGGCTATAGACACAGTTAGCTGTGCTTTTCGTGTTAAGGGTACAGAAATCGTTACCGATAGGCAAAAATCCCACTACATTTCTGACTAGAAATAGGACCTGGAATCTTGGGGCTTAAGTCTTATATCAAATGCTTGAAGTACTTTGAATGATCAAAGATACTGTTTTCTTTTTTTCACATCCCAAATATACCATCCTTCCTATATGTTTTAGAAATTGAGTTTCTCCGAGTGCCCGGTAACCCTGAGGCTCTGCGGGGACCACTGCAGTGTTTTGAGATGCCTACACGCTGAGAAGACTGGTTAAGAGGAAGCTCTCTCTACGCAGGGTCAGTGGAACTGGTAATAGAAGGACACACTGAGGCGCCTAGGGCTTATGACTGATGAGGGTAACCCGCCAGGACTGCCCTGGTCTCGAACTCCCTGCCCCAGCCCCGTGGTCTCCCTGAAAGGATCGCAGTGAAACAGTTTCTCTCTCCTTCTGTCCTGCTGCACATCAGAACCCAGTCCGACGGGCTGGTCTAGTAGAAGAGGAACTGCTCCAGTCCTGCCCGTCAAGAAGGGCACAGGGCGGTACTAGAAGCTCTCTTCCCCACATGCCCGATGCCCGATCTACTGATTCCGCAGCACCGGACACAGGCTTGCAGGGACACCCTGCAAATACCCACTTCCTCAGCGCCGCCCACCGGAGGGCCCAGCGTATGGCATTTCGTGTGAAGACACGGTTCAGATTTTGATTTCTCACACCATCACTCAAACAGGCAAATCCCAAACAGAATGGCTGTTCACTTGTCACTGTTTCAACATTAGCTCAGGTAACACCTCCCTCATAACCCTCATTCCCCGATTTCAGTAAAATAAAACAAAGAGTAATATCAAGAATGGGCCTCAAGAACAATGTGGACAGACTACAAGGGTTGGTTTAAAACTCAGAAAAAATAAAATAAAACATAAAACGATTACTTCCTAAGTCGACTCAAAGCAGAACTTATTTGCAAGAGATAGGCGAAAACAGAATGTCCTCAAACACTTCGTAGCAGCAAAGATCTTCAAGATAAAGCAAGCGTGACAGGATTCAGGCAACAGCGATGCACTGAGTTCTGGTGGGGTTTCTAGGCCATCTCTGACTCCTTCCAGAGTCACATCCAGCTAGAGTGTACGTCTTGAGGTCCCAGAAGCTGGATCTTAAGGAGTAGGTTACAAGAAAAGATGGGCTTGCAGAGCTAGCTGCAGGGTCACTGAGAGACGATGGGAAGGGTGAGGGCAGGCGGTAGATGAGGGTGAAACTGGGTAACTTAGAGACGAGGCGTGCTTCGTCCAAGGACCTTGTTGGCTAGGAAGTTTTAAGAAGAAGGTAGACAGTTTCCTTTCTGATGTGGATGGGGGTCAGGCTAGCATGGGGCCAGGGAGATGGAACAAAGATCTTTAAAATCCATTTCAGTCTTTGGTATTAGCCTCATCCGAGAACACTGTGTAATCCCTAACTCCACTGCGTCACAGAACAACCAAGATTTCGCCTTAGAGAGTGATAAACATGCAGAATATGACTCATTGTGTATTCAGAGAGACTGACAATG